ATCCATGAAACCACTCACTCCTTTACAATGTGCGCGTCGATGTCTCGGCTGGACACTGTGCAAATCGTTTGACTATTACCTTGAAGATTTAAGGTGTACTTTGAATAGGCTGAACAGCTCTGATGTAGCGCCATCGAAGCTTTTTTCTGAAGCAGGAACAGTTCACAGGTAAGATCTTTTTTTCTATTGACCTTATCAATTTAAATGTAAAATAATGTTGGAACAACATGTTCTAATGTATTCAAGTGTGCATCCGTAAATTTACATATCTGTATGACCATGTGAATTAATTCAGGCTATAGGAAACGTATTACATATGATCCCTGTTGATTAACATAAGAAAAGGTGATGTGAAGTGGTTCGGCTGTTGTAACCTGATATGCAGAATTTCGCCCAGCGGACAGGATATGTACGCTGATCAGGAGTTCAAATCTCATAATTCGTTGAATTATGTATTACCGATATTACGTGATATTACTGAAATATTACATGAAACACAAATAGGTCACGAATCAATTACTTGCATCTGACTGTTGGCGTGTGATGTTACGATGTGCCCCGTTACATCAGTTTACTTAATCAGAGTAAGGACTGATGGCGTGACTTTTCATATACTTTACATTCCCTTTTCAATCCAAAATAAGGTTCTCCGTCGATCATATTTTATTTGAATAATTTTTGAATTGCAAGGGATTCATATTCTCAAGTACATTTGAAAAATCTACTTGTGGGAGCGGGAAATCGGTTTCTAGTATAAATTGTAAACATGTACGAGTATAACTAATTGTTTATGTTTAACTTAAAATAAACGAAATGGAGAAATGTTTATAACAAGGAATTGTTTTTTAAATATAGCTTTGAGGTCGCATACAAACCAAAAGGCTGGAAGACCTTGAATACCAGCTAACTTTGCGTGTTTCTTTGTAACCCCGCATGCAAGAATGTCTAAGTTATGTGGCGGCGTCTGTATACACTGACCACATAAAGAAACTATGCACACAGAAAATATAAAGATATTCAGACAGTGTCTTCATACATAGATATAGGTGTGAACATAGCAAGTATTGGAGACAATCAAACGCTCATGCAGGTGCCAGGCGACATGACGTCATTGATGGTGGCCTATGGACTTGTAATGCGTTACTGCACGTGCAGCCTGTGCAGCTGCACACAACTTGTGAAACTCAGAAATTGCTGTCACTGTCGAAAGCTTGATCTTTGCTCATTCAAACGTTCACAAATTCACATGAAAAGTCACATGTACATCATGCCAAGATTAACATCTGCTCAACGTCATGAAGCCATTGGAATGGTTCGAGCAGGCATGAGCCAACAACAGGTGGCAGCCAATTTCCAATGCCATCGTAACACGATATCTGCATTTGTCAGGCGTTATGGAAACAGTAATGACGTCGCCGACCACGCACGTTCTTGGCGTCCCCGAGTAACGACGCCAAGACAGGACAGATGGATTCGGTTGACTCATCTCAGACACAGGTTCCAGACGGCAGTGACCACGTCCCAAACCATTCCCCAGGCCTTCAATGTTCATTTATCTATGCGTCGTCGATGCACTATTCTGCTTCACGCGCATAATGGTCATACTCGTTATTGACTGTGACTTCGACGTGTGACCCCCCTACTCAATTGTTAACTTCTGATGTCATCGTTATGGATATTGTTCATGTTCTTTTGACATGTTGTTGTGGCCCGATACTTCAGCTTATAAAGTGTCTACATCATTTCGTCTTTTCTGTGTTGTATTCCAATTCTGAAGGAATTTTCTGTGTGCACAGTTTCTTTATGTGGCTAGTAGTTAAAATACCAGCGCCTTGAGCATGCACCAGTGTGTGGATATGTGCGCTATATAAATATCCTATAATAATAATAATAATAATAGGATATAATCGAGTCTTGATAAGACAGTTTAGTAATTGCCATCATAGGTATTAATGCCAGCAGTTAAGCAGAATGACATGCAGCAACTCAGCCAGCAATCTCCCTAATCTATTACAAGTATGGATTGAAGATTTATTCTAAACAGTTACTCAAATAAGTCACCAAGGAGTTCACTTTCTGTCAAGCAGTATAGTTATTTCTACACACCCCACCAGTTTATCTTCCTTTACCACAAAGCAATTTGAATATCTTTTCTGTATTTTATCTGTTCTTAACTCCAGTTCCATCTCGCTGTGGCCGAAGAGCTTTGCTGGTGCCTGTGATGGACATAGCTGTCCTACCAACAGATACTGCCAGGTCATTCATGATGGATCCACAAGGTGCAAAAGATTTTAAAGAACAGACACGTCTATCAATAGTTTTAGTTTGTATCGACAGAAAATGCACAAGGGAATTTGCGGAAAACCTATTGAAGTCTTAATACCGACTACGATGATGATGATGTTGATACACTAATAGGTTCAGTTAACCCTATTGACGGTGAAACTATAGACATCACGTAAAACCTGCAGAAGGAATGCTTCAGATGAGAATAATACAAACTTCAAAGATCAAAGTCAGGATGAAGATGAGGATGTTTGTTGTTAAAAATCCTCTCCTACGTGGATATTTCCAAGAGCATGTCCTGGGACGTGATGGTGATGGAAGGCGAAACCTGTCATGGGCACGTGTGCACTTCATGCTCCAGTATCACGTTCCATCAAATCATTCCTATAGCTTGTATACAGTTTTAATATGACTTATGATCTCCAACGACCTTGTCTTTAATGGTTAAACCGCTCACACCACGATAAGCAATTTTGTTTTAAAGTAAGTATCTTTTGTTATCATCAACTTAATATGAAACAAAGTGATGCTGTGTGTTGTGACCAAAGTGGTAAAGGTCTGAGACTGCATTGCGTCGTGTTTTCTCCCCACACTCACCTCACACTCTGTGATATAACCGGGATACTGTTCCAGGGGGTATTAAATCCAACTCCAAAACTCAGTCTTTTCACACAGGTGTCCTTATATAATAAACAAATTGGAACTTGCATAAATTGTGTCCGGATGTACTGGTGTCTTCAAATGGTACACTCTCAACATCAATAAAATCGCGAAAACCCTTTCCACGTTGTGCTGGACAAATGAGGAACAGGTATATTATTGAACGTATGTTTCGTGCGCAAGCTCAACGCCAACCAATCGCCGACTATTTGCCACCCAATCTCAATGGATTGAACCAAAACGCCATAAACGTTTTCCAAACGGTTCTAAGCTACTTTTGGTATTCTATGGCTACTGAAAAGCTGATTGAACGAAAGAGATCTGTTTTCGTCTTGTGTATTGTACACGGATCATTGCTAGCAAGTTGTTGTTTCAAGCAAGTTCATAGACTTTAATAGTCACTTCATCAACTGTGCCACTATTGACTCACTTCAATATTCAAACGTTAATGTCTGACCATGACCTTTGGAATATCCGGATCTGATCCCGTCCGAGCATCTGTTGGAGGAACTCCATAGACGTCAACATCAGTGGTAAAGTACCAGGAGTGGAATACCGACTGAATATGATAAATATACTCCACACATATGTATAGAAATGCTAAAAGGCTTGGTCAATATCCAAAAATAAGCTTATTACTTTATTGGCGGTAACTGGCAGAATATTTTCAAAAATCTTATGTAATATGTTGAATAAGTGGGCTGACAAAGAAAAGGTATTATGTAATAAACAAGCCGGATTCTAAACAATCGACGACATTTATCATCGAGACGGTAATAAGAAAGTATCTGCCCCTATATATTGTGTTTTTATTTACCTGAAACCTACATTCAATTCTGTCACACGTAATACTCTCTTATGTAAACTATGGAAAGAAAACATTAAGACATGTGTCACATAGCATCTATGTGCTCATGCGAAGTCATGTCTGTCTTTTGGAGAAGGATGTATATCTTTCATGTGTTTGAAGATGACATTAATCTGGCTGATACTACTGAAACAGGACTTCAGAAATCAATTGATAAACTGACATATCATTGTGATATGTGGCAGTTAAACACTGACATTGAAAACTAGTTTGTATTTCGTGAAGGTGGTTGGCCTCTAGGAAATACGAGAGGTTTATGCTTCAAGAGAAAAGAATAGATATTGCACCTACCTATAAATATCTTGGAGTTCATCTCTCAAGTTCCGGCACAGGTATGCTACCCAAAAGACATTAAGCATGGACAATTGTGTTTCGTTGAAATCTCAGATTACAAATATCAATACATTAAAGCACTAAAGTCAGCAATGCATCTGTTATATGTTTCACCGGCCACGTAACATTTTTTATGTGCATGGCAGTTACTGTTATTTTAGAATTCCACACCAAATATTGTAGCTAGTATAGAACTTGGTCGGTATTCCTTGAAGGTAAATCAGGAACTTACATACTGAACAAGACAATAATTTAGCAAAATAATGTTATTCTTAAACAAATGTATTGTTATCGATATGGTTTAGGAGAAAGGGGAACTAATTGATGAATCTTATGGGTTAAGCAATTTGGGTTTGGAAATGTTTCGGTCCATGCTTCTTTTGATGCATTTGCATACAGATTTAAGATATTATTATTATTAACACAGTATTAGTCAGCGAGCCCTGACCACCAGGATCCCATTAATCTCCTCTTACGACAAGCACGGGTTGCTGAAGATCAATTCTAACAAAGATCTTTATGGGTCATGGAATCAAGACCATCGTACAGATAGGACAAACGAGATAAAACACGATCGAAGCTCCAAATGCCAATGCGAAAAAAACGAGTTTTTTCTGATAATCAGGAGAGATGTTTCGGGGCAAGAGTGCAATCTATAAAAATTTAATGATTTTCTTTCCATTGTTTGGGGGATTAATTTCATATATTAAGCATGGTCTGTGCGGTTCAAAACGATTTTCTATATTGTAAATATCGTTTGTGTTTGTTTTGTTAGAAACGTCCGAGACAGATCAATATATGTACGCGTAGTGATATGCAGAATAACCTTAAGTATAAAATGCTGTGCATATTGTTCAGTTGGACCGTGTGTATTCCAATGTCAAGAAGCGATATCTGCATTTCTTTCAAATGTGCCGACAACTAATCCTGACGCTATGGGTAATTTCTTCATGGTCGGGTTTTGGAAACAGTGAGAGCTTTTGCACAAACATCGGCAATATTGCAGAGATTGCTACAGATAGAAATCTTTGGGTGCCCAACCCCCAGCAGTTGCGAATGTCACCTGTGACATTATTGCAGTGTGTGCGGCGATGCCTTGGCTGGACCCTATGCAAGTCGATTGATTTTGATATTCCAAAATTTCACTGTTTCCTAAACCAAATGAACGTTTCTGATGTAGGTCTGTCGCATTTGAAAGTCAAACCAGGATATGTACACAGGTAAGCATGGTTCTTCTGCGGCGCAATTGTACGATAGTTTCAGGGATCTGAGGCACCTGCGTGGAAATCCATATGACAATTTCAGATGCCGAACTCTTGCTTCTGCCAAAAAATATACATTTTACAAAAAATATTTCACTAAAGAATTACTTTAGTAAATTGTTCGCTTGAGCATAGTATATACTTTCAGGTATCAAAGTACTAGAATCTGTATTTTACTGAGAAAATGCAATCCCAAATATAGCATGTGTTACATTTGACCACTTTGTAAATGGCATTGTGTATTCATCATTGAAGAAGTTAGGAAAAGCGTAATCATGTGAATATGAGGCTTACAGGTTTCATATTCATAAAGATGAAATTGGGTATGTCATGAAGTAATAACAGTATTTATCAATAGTTTACTTTTGATATTTAAATTTACTTCTTTCAAATACTACTTACAGCGAACAGTATCTTGTGTTGTGTTCTGAACAGTGTTGGCAACTATGATTGGATCATTTAATTGTATCAAAAGTACCACACAGTGTTGGCAACTGTTGAATATTACAAAGTTCACCTTGTCAATCTAGAGTTTAATTTTGTCTTGTCGGTTTGGACGGTTGATGTGAGTTATTGAATATTGCTTAATCACGCAATGGTGCAGCTATTTGTGGTGAGAAATGTCATTGGCTTTACATTGGAAGTTTGAAAGAAACCAGAACCTTTCGATTATTTTCAATATTTCCTTGCTGAAATGCATATGTTTATGCCAAACGTATGCCCGTGACCCTTACTCGAATTGCAAGCTCAGCTTATTCTGTGCTACAACTAAACCACTGAAGCTGAAGCTGAATCTTAACACATGTTAATCATAAAACACTGAAATAACTTCAAATATTCCTACTTACAATAATGTGAGGCATCGTGTAACATTCATATGTAAGTTTAGGTCCAAAGTCATGTTCGGAATGTATCAAATATTGTAGTCACTTCAAAAGTGAGAATTTAACTGATGACGTTGAGAACGAGGTAACTTAGATATCCGATGTAAGGCGAAAGTGAACAAGGGTTTATGTACAGATGAATGTATCGTAGGACTGAGACAACTTCTGAAACCTTCAAACATTTCGGGGATTTCTCCCCGTTGAATGTTGTTATTAATGGGACTGAATTCAAGACGGGACATGCTGTTCAACATTCTTAGGGGTTCTCTCTTTACATAAACGCGACGAAGGGGTAGCCAGGTGGCTCGGTTTGCGGAAGACCTGGGTTCAGTTCCTTTCATCTTCAATGTGTCTCCGCTATGATATTGTTGTGACATTTCTACAAGCGCTGTAAATTCACTCCACTCCACTATACTTCACTCCACTCCACTCCACTCCACTCCACTCCACTACACTCGGGGTTTTTGTTTTCATTCAAGACTTTCAACAACCACCTGGTTATGCTCATCCTTGATAGCGCTAAATGATAAACATAAGAGACAAAACCCTTTTATTTATCATAAGACATCTCCCTGTATATCATTTCAGCTACTACATTCGCATGTGCTTATGAATCGCTTTCAAATATAACCATAACAGGAGTACGAGTGTGTATCAGTCACCATTTCCTTATTGACGTTTCAGTTTTGGAAATATCATTTCCGTGTATTTCTTTGATTGGCATTCTTGAAGTTGAGGAGATGAAGAATGTGGACAATTTTTTATAGATACACATCTTCTTTATTCTGTATATGTGACGTTTCGACACAGATAGTAGCTTGACAACGACATTAGAATCTATGTTGAAACGTCGCACATACAGAATAAAACAGTTGTATATCCATACAAATTGTCCTCATTCTTTGGCATAAACATTTCCGAGAGATGTACGAAGGCTTTGCATTTCTGGTCAAACAATCTTTTTAGAAACAGTTGCATGATTTGTAGAGTAGTTTGGAACAGGTTTTACCAAATTTCGTTTTTACAATGTCATAAATACGTATTGACTTATAGCGCCAACTGAGTTCGTCCTGAACATCGATCTTGTTACGGTTTAAGATTCTTTTATTAGTTTCATTATCTCTGTCAATGAATAAGTTATGTATGTATTTACATAACGAATTATGTCTCGTTTCGTGTCGTTGAACATTAGGTTTGAAGGTATTCCTCCACATTACAGTTTCACGAACACACGTACGACAACTTGCCACAATGTGCCTTCAAGTCATCCTGGCTTTCTGTATTGTTACTTCATATTCATGTTTAGTCGACACCACCAATGTTTGCACTGACATGAGCAAGATCCCACAACTGTAAGTGAATTATAATCTTTGGATAAGTAATGACCATTATGAATGGAGGAAACCACTAACACTGTTACAATGTGCGCGTCGGTGTCTCGGCTGGACACTGTGCAAATCGTTTGATGTTCACGTTGAACAGTCTGTGTGTAATCTTAATCGGCTCAATAGTTCTGATGTAGATGCATCGAAAATGAAAGTTCAAGCTGGAGTAGTTCACAGGTAATTAATATTTCTCGTGACCTCACCCATTTGATGTAAAAGAGATTATTCATTTATTATTATTCTGAGTGTATTCTGAGTTCTGTGTATATGAAGATCTTTATGAACTTTGTTTTTCAAATATGCTGTTTTTATCTATTAATTGGAAACAGATTGGAGTTTTTTTATGTATTCTAAAGGTTGGTACTATTTTAAGTCCCTTAAAACAAGAGTTGTGTCTCATGTTTAGTCGACACCACCAATGTTTGCACTGACATGAGCAAACTTCCACAGCTGCAAGTGAATTATTATCTTTAAATGGGCTATTACCAATCAAAATTTAAATTTAAATCTCACTCATTTACAATGTGCGCGTCGGTGTCAGGGCTGGACATTGTGCACATTGTTTAACTATTACCTCGAAGATTCAAAGTGTTTTCTGATTAAGGTGAACAGTTCTGATACACCAGGGCTTTGAGTTAAAATAGGAACAGTTCACAGGTAAGATATTTTTTTCTCAATGAATTTATCAGTTATGTTATTTTTACCAATCTGTATTCCTTACAAGTTATCTCGCGACTTGATTTGTTTGAAATCGCTCAAGTTGTCTTGAAATTGTAATCCTGACAAGCATCATATTTTTGTATTCCTTATATATAAGATATAAGGTTTGACAAAAAAATTGAAGTGTCATGCAGTTTCGTCACGTATCTGTGATTGTATCCGCTTTTCAAATATCCCATTCACCATGGGAATATTGATAGGGTTTGTTCGTGCTTAGTACATAGGATTTGCTTGCTTCACCAAACCTTTAAGCGTTAAATTGGAAATTAAAAAGACGTTCAGCTGACTCTCTCTTAATTACTACAGCTAGTATATGATTGAGTTCTGAGCTGAATATATGCTGCATTAGTCAGCATGGGTTGGCCTGCTGCGTGATAGGGCCTGTTTGATACCATTATACATATTCCACCTGAGGTACGCCAAACTGTTCCACACTTGAAATCAAAAGGAAATATCCATAGATGGGTCTGTTTAAGTATTTTTTCAAAGACTGCTCAATTTCACTAGAAACTGATATGATGAAGAGGAACGATATTTGTGGATAGACAATAAAGAAGCTGTCTATCCGTAAAAATCGTTCCCCCTCACTGTTCATTTTAAATATATATATATATATATATATATATATTAGTTTAAATCCTGAATAACAGTGCAGACAAATAGTAAAATTGTTAAACATGTCAACGCACCTTACATTTCAGTAGGGATATTACAAAAGTATCTGGTAGTGCCAAAACGAACATAATTATGTTCTTGCCCAATTCGCATCATTTCTAAATTCCTGTAACGTTTCATGGATGATGTCCTGACTAGCGTCAAGGATTCGTGAGTGAGTGAGTGAGTTAAGATTTTAAGTCACATCGGCAATATTTCAGCCATATCGTGACTAAAGCAAGTTATAAATATATCAACAATTTAAGTGAAATTATAAAATTCTGCCGACGAAGGACAGTAAAAGAACTAGATTATCACAGATATAGATATAAAACTAGTAACTAAATCTAAAACATTTGAACTATACAAGACGATACAATATAAAAAACAGGCTATTGATCGCCAACAACTGAAGGTAGATCACCATACTAGGGACCCTGGGGACTTACAGTACATTTGCTTCCTGCATGGACCCTAGCTGGATTTACACCATCCCTTCAGCCATTGGCGACAGAAGAGAAACCTAGCCATAAATTAAAAGTACACATATTCTACGATTAAAAACCTGGTACACTTAAATTGACTATATGTTTTGGGACTTACGTACCCTCTCAGGAGGACAATAATTTTACAATACTTCAACCCCCTTTGAGGGTACAGCCACTAACAATATCAGTTACTAATTTAAACTACCAATAATAAAATATATATCTATTTACAAATCAGTTAGCAAGTCTAATTTTTTTAAAAAGGCAATAATTAAATGAGAACTTATATGACTAAAAAGATCCTTCATAGTTTTTACTTTGAAATAAATATCCCTTGTGATGGAATATTCAACACAGTCAAGCAGGACATGCTTGACTGTGATTCTTTCATCACAAGGGATACAAAACGGAGGATCTTCGCCTTTCAATAAATATTCGTGAGTATATCTGGTATGGCCAATGCGACATCGTCGCATAATGACCTCTTCAAATCTGGACTGACAACCCAAGTAGGTGTAACCAATGTAGGGTTTTATTGCATGTAATTTATTAATACCTACTTGGGTGTCCCACTTCTTCTGCATTAGATCACGGATGTAAGTTCTAATGCTGGCTTTATAATCAGAGTATGGGATAAGAAGTGGTGTCACAGATTTGTTGAGGGCTGCCTTAGCAGCAATATCAGCCATGGTGTTCCCAGAAATGCCAACGTGGCTGGGTAACCAACAAAAGACGATGTCGCATTGGCCAGTAGCAAGATCATTATATAATTCAATTATTTCAATTAAAAGTGGATGTTTGCAAGATAGATTTTTAATAGCCTGAAG